AATTGAATGCGGAATTTCCATGATTTCTCGATATTTCTTGGCCTCCAGAATCATCCTGATACATTTTTGAAGACGCGTCTGTGTGTGTTTTGATTTTTTTTAAATGAGATCTACATGCAATTCGATCTTGATTGGTCGGCTTCGTCGTTTTCTTGTAATCCAGATGAAAATTCACTTTAAAGAAGGGAATTTCTATAGCCTTCCACATCTCTGTGACGTCATAGGAAATGATTGGATGGGATTTGGATGAGGTACACTGAGAGAGAAACAAACAGGTTGTCAAACAAGTCTTGTTTGGGCCAACAAAATTGCTAGTTGAAAATTGCCAAAAACGAATTCGTTTGGTTCGAATTTGAAAGTCTCAAATATAAATAATTGTTCTGCTTTCGACAGCAACGAAATATTTGGCTCAAGAGGCGGATAATTCACACCAGACGGTGCCTTTTCAGGATGAAAATATCTCATATACAGGAAAATTTATCAAGAAATATTTTATCCCTAAGTTACAACATTGTCATCATATCATTATTATTGTTTCATTTAGGGGTTCATTTGTTGTCTGTGATTATTAGACAGCCGAAACGAAAAACTATTATCTCTTGTTTCGCACAAAACAAAGATTTTTCAGAAGCAAAATATGTATGGGAGTATCGAATAATGAAGAAGTAGTGCTAGAAATGACATTTCTTGCGTGTACAGGGAATGCAATTTTTTTTTAACTACTGAATCTATTTTCGCAACAAAAAATTTTCATTCTGGCGCACTCTCTGCATGTTTGGCACAAAACAATACTTTTTTGATCATTTTCAAAAAACTATTTCCTTGGCACAAGTAAGACTTGTTTGAGAACTTTGTCGTTTTTCTCTCAGTGTAGGAGGAGAACCGGGATTATTGTCAATATGATTAACCAGAAAATTTGCGTTTTTTCTTTCTAATAAACAGAAAACTGGGAATAGGTCGGGAAGTTATTGGCTCGACCCGTAATAGGTTACATCCCCTTCAACCCAACCGCAATGGGAGCGAGCGAAGCGAGGACCAACAAACCAGTTGAATTTTTTGAAAAGTTGTCTACCAGTACTGTAGTAACCGAAAACTCCTAATTTTAAGAATGTCTCGATCGTGGGGAATTACGTGTACAGTTTAGTTATGAATAGTCTAGATGTTGGGGAACTACACGAGGGCAGTTGCATTGTAAAGTATTTCAAACGTTAAGGAAAATATTTTATTAAGGTAGGATTAAGACGAGACGCAGGATTAAGTTTAGACGTACAGTTTTATTGTTTTATTATGGTAACGCCGTATAGTATATATTCCAGAAGAATATCCGTAGATTTTTGGAGTGGGGGACACGCATATGAGTGGGAATCACGTAGAGTGGGGGTACCCTGGGGAAGATAATCTTCTACTAGAAGGCCTATAGCACCCTCATCGATGACGCACGACCTCTTAGCTGACCCACGCTGCCATGTTTCGGGAAAACTTCCAAATATGGAAATGGCGAGTGAGGCCCAGAAAGTGCGTGGTAGTGGGGGAAGGACGCTAGGAGGGACAAGGTGTACATTTAAGGGATGAGGGTACAACGGACAGTGCAGTTCATTGCCGGGAACCTTTAGACGAACATTGAAGTCGAAGAAGTAGACGAAGTCCTCGTCAGAGGCATTAGACGATTTAGCTGTTTTTCTTAAAGTGTTTTTTAAAATAACAATTGTAAATAAACTGTTTCGATTAAAGTGTTTAGAATTATCCAGCTGTTTTATCTTTTAAAAATATACCCACAGTACCTACGTCATAGTACACTGTTGGAAAAAAAAAATTTCATGGACAGTTGACTACTAATTTTCAGGACAGTGACACTAAATGCGATTCAGGATAAAACAAGCAGGGGTTCGAGCCCATCCGACAGAAGGCATGTGACCGTTACTTTTTGCGTTATTAGTCCTTTTCTTTTTTTTATTTCTACCAATTCTATTGGTAGTAAGCTTCCGAACGGATCCGTAGCAATCCCCTGTCCTTGTGACAGGTATACAACCANGTTCATTTGTTGTCTGTGATTATTAGACAGCCGAAACGAAAAACTATTATCTCTTGTTTCGCACAAAACAAAGATTTTTCAGAAGCAAAATATGTATGGGAGTATCGAATAATGAAGANCAGTGACCATATGATGGTGAACATGTCACTGAGTGATGTTCCAATGCTTTCTCACGAATGAAAAAATTCAATAGAAAACCTGCGAATTCGCTAGAAAATTTTATTAGAATTCTATAGGAATACTATGGGGGTTTCTATAGAATTTCTATTGGAATTCTGTTGAACAATTCTATTTGTTTTTTGCGCTGATGCTATTGGATACTCAATAAAAAAAGTCAATAGATTTCGAATTTCTGTTTGAATTTTTCTCTTGAGATTTTTTCTATAAGAATGCTTGGGCATCAATTTTCTAAGTTTTTTTCACTCGGATTCTGCAATGCAAAACAAAACAAAATCCAGTAGAAAAAACTTACAAAATTTGTGCCCAATAATTCAGATGAAAAAAATCTAACAGAAAAATTTAAATAGAAATTTGAAATCTATGGACTTTTTGTTATTGAATATCCAATAGAATCAGCGCAAAAAACAAATAGAATTGTTCAATAGAATTCCAATAGAAATCCTATGGAAATCCCATAGAATTCCTATGGAATTTCCTAGCGAATTCGCTAGGTTTTCTATTGAATTTTTTCATGCGTGCATGCATACCAGTTTGACATTGGGAAAAATACTCGCAATAACGAGTAACGGAAGGGACGACTTTATCTGGTCAGGTTTTTCCCTAACTTAGGGTATCCTCCAACCTTTAGCAAATGCAATCCAGGAGGTTGGAAAGAGTTTCGATGGGGGTCGAGAAAGACGCAAATAGCAAAAATGAGGAGAAATATCCGAGAGAAAAAAAATTATGCTGAAACCATTCGGAAGCATACCATCAATTTATTGATGGCGGAGAAAGCATTGAAACATTACTCAGTGACATGCTCACGATCATATGCTCACTGCGTCCTGCTTGTTTCCTCACCTGATGTCTCGATTTTTTTTTTGTGAAAAGGAAAATTATGTGATCACATCACAGTCGATTAATACGTACGCAATCGAAATGCGCAATCGATTATCATAACCATCAAAGAAACAAATCGATTCCCTTTTTTCTCGTCTCGATAGCTGAAAATCGAAAACAAATGATAAAAAAGCCTTGCTCTTTTAATCATAAGAAGAAGAAGAGAAGAGAGACCGATTAATACGGAAATCGGTTATCATATCGAAGAACCAAATCGATTCACTTTTTCTCGACAGCTGAAAATCGAAAACAAAAGACAAAAGCCTTGCTCTTTTTTAATCATAAGGACTCCTTACGGTCGGACCAGGATTTACTTGAAGAAAGTCGATTGTTACTCGATTGTCCCCATTATTCAAGTCAATCGACCCACAATCGACCAGTTGTTTAGTCGTTTCATAATAGTTTTCATAATTTCAGTGGCAGAATCGACTGATCCTTGGGTCGATTGTGACTCGATTGTCCTCATTATTCAAGTCAATCGACCCACAATCGACTAGTTATTTAGTCGTTTCATAATAGTTTTCATAATTCCAGTGGGCGAATCGACTGATCCTTGAATCGATTATTACTCGATTGACTTCATATTATTCACTTATATGAAACGACTCAACAACTGGTCGATTGTGGGTCGATTGATGTGAATAATATGCGGGCAATCGAGTCACAATCGACTTTCTTCAAGTCGATCCTGGTCGGACCGTAAGGAGTCTTTCATAATCGATCACCCCATGAGTCGTTCAAGTTTTGGTGCAATAAATTTTTGTCATTCGAAATTCACTAGCTATCGACTTCCTATGAAGTCGATTCATCTTCGATTCCATCAATAATCTGACATCTGAATCGAACTATACTCGCATACGAATCGATATACTGATCAACTCGATTCTACAATCGACAGATCCGCCAGGGTTCGGTTTGGATTATAAAGCCACATTCGCCAGATAATACTTTTATCGCCTAATGACATAATATACTATTTCATCACTGAGTCCCGCTAACCTGCACGTATCGGCCTGTTCTGCGGCCAACCTCAAACAGCTGTTTCACACTACCCCTGTTCCTCATTCCTCCGTCTTGTTCTTTATGCTTTCCGCACTTTCACCATCAAAATTTTTCTGTTATCTAATTTTCATTAGAATCATCCTTTTAGACAGAATTTCCGATTCACTCATTATTATCACTTTTTACGTTTGTTCTGGTTTTTCATTCAGTGAGGAGAAGCGAGGGGAGGTGGGCTCCATAAAAAATTTGAGAAATTTGTATTCAAGAATGAAGAAATTAAAAATCTATGGACTTTTTTCTATTAAATATTCTTTTAGGAATGCGAGATGGTAAAATTGCATGATCTCCGATAGAATTAGCACAATTAATCAATAGAATTTTCACAAAACTCCAATAGAGTTTTTCAAGGGTTCCAATACGAATTCAGTAGAATTTTTCTGTGGAAATACTAGGTTTTTGTAGTATTTTTCTTATATCTAACAGAGTACAAATTACTTCAATTTTTATTTATTTTTTTCTTTTGTGAATTTTTTTAGGGGGGGGGGGGAGGGGCAAGCCACCCCACCGCTCCTTTGCGGGACTTCGTGATAAAAATTAGATTATGTCATTCCGACGATGGTCTCGGGTTGTGAGTCGTGTGAAGTTTGCAGCACTCCTCACAAACCTCGATCTATCGTCCTTATGACATAATCTACTATTTTTTTAAATAGTGGCAGTCGATTGTAAAGGGCATAAAATTCGATATAGAAAAAAAAAGGTCGTTATTCCCTTCATTAGGATTTTTTCTTTAGTAGTGGGAGTCGATTGTAAAGATTATAAAATTAGAGAGAGTCACTTTTTGAATGGTCACTGATTGGCGGCCACTTTTCGTTAACAATATATTTGTTATCCGTTACTTTTTCAATACCTTTGTCAACCAGAAATTATTGCACGTGCGGATGGCTTTCCCCATATATCCGCGGAGTGCACACCCTTCTCTCCCAGCTTCCTTTCGATAAACCCCGGCCGGCACCAGTGTATGTCCAAATCGAAATGCAGCAGATTGGAAAAACTGTTCGATTTGTGGATCAACAGCTGGGTTGTAACCTTCGAACAACAAAAGAAGGAACATTAAAGAATTTGCAGACTTCACAGTCTTGAAAAAATCATAAACATTGAGTCAACACCAGATTTGATTGAATTTACCTTTATAATCTGTAAGTTCCTCTCCTAACCATTGGGGTAGCCACTCATACACAACGATACTCTGTTGCGAAGCAATTACCCACTTTCTTGCTTCGTTATAAATTTTCTCGCCACTCCAACCGGGATTTTGAAGCTTCAAATTTTTGGCAATTGCATTGTGCCACCTGAACCAGACGACTCCAAACGATAGCAGAAACGGATTTTCGTTGCCTCGAGGATTCCCCAATTCTTCAATTCAAGAGACACCAAATCGATAAGTCGAAGAGAGAAAAGCGAGATGGATAGAAGTTTTGTAGTGAAACAATCAAGGAAGAAAAAAACATGATGAAATTGAAGCAAGTAAAATGAATGGATTATTCAAAATAATTCAAACTCAAATTAATTCAACTAGAAGGGACTATATTTTGAGCAATCTCAATCAGCAGACCGATAAGAGTTCTAAATACATTCTTGACATTGAATTATACCCTAACTCCCTGAAATTACTCCCTGAATTTTGCCTCGCCCAAACAAATCTAATTAAACTTGAAAAAATTTATGAAAAACCTGTAAATTGTAGTGATAAACGTCCCAGGAAACAATAAACTTCATAAAATTCCGCATAATTGAAACAAAAAAGAAACAGGAAATTCTCTGAAATGCCTAAAACCTAAAAGGCCCTTTCGATTTTCGCGCCACCCCCGAATGCACTTCCTTCTTCGTCCTCGCTGCTTCCCCTCCCTCCGCCCCTTATCGCGCCTCATCGCAAAACTCTCCATCCGAGATGCTTTGAACGCCGCCCTAGACGAGGAACTTGCCAACAATCCCACGGTCTTCATCATCGGTGAAGAAGTCGCCCAATATGATGGAGCTTACAAAGTAACGAAAGGCCTCTGGGAGAAATACGGTGACAAGCGAGTGATAGACACCCCAATAACCGAAGCAGGATTCGCAGGAATAGCGATTGGAGCAGCGATTGCAGGTCTTCGTCCAATCTGCGAGTTCATGACCTTTAACTTCTCGATGCAGGCGATAGATCGAGTGGTGAATGCAGCAGCGAAGAATCTTTACATGTCGGCAGGAAGATATCCCGTGCCAATCGTCTTCAGAGGACCCAATGGAAATGCTAAGGGATTGGCAGCACAGCATTCTCAGTGTTTCGCTGCTTGGTATATGAGTGTACCAGGACTGAAGGTCATGTCTCCATCGACGAGTGAAGACTACAGAGGATGTTTGAAGGCAGGAGTGAGGGATCCAGATCCCGTGGTAATTCTGGAGTCAGAATTACTTTACAATATGGAGTTTGAGGTATCTGACGAGGCGTTAGACAAGGACTTTACAGTGCCAATTGGAAAGGGCAAAATCGAACGTTCTGGACAGCATATAACGCTTGTGTGTCATGGTCAGGCTACTTGGCATGTCATGAGGGCAGCTGAGATGCTCGAGGCTGTTGGGATCGAAGCTGAAGTCGTTAATTTGAGGTCACTGAGACCTGTGGACTGGGAAATGATTTTTGAGTCCATTGGAAAGACTCACCGACTCATGGTAGTCGAGTTGGGATGGCCCAGATGTGGCGTTGGGGCTGAAATCTGCTCCACTGTTATGGAGAATCCAGTTTTCTTTCAGCTGGATGCTCCTGCTATCAGATGCACTGGAATTGATGTGCCTATGCCTTATTCGGACAAGATTGAGTATGAGTGCACCCCGAAGGACCACCATATTGTGGAATATGCTAAGAAGATTTGTGGAGTAAAGATATGAAGAATCGACGAGGATTCGTGGGGGTCTTTTGATAATTTTAGTCAATTTTTTATTGGAATTGATTGAACTGACTGCCAAGTCTAGTGGAAAAGAAGCAACGAAATATTTGAAGAGGGATAAATGATGAATGAAAATGGTGTTGTAAATGATGAAGCTGGGTAGATATAAATATTTGGGTAATTTGTGTAACTGTTTTCCAATAATTTTCTATATTTTATGAAATAACTACGGAATTATGGAAAGTTATGGTTTCCTTGGTCAACAAAAAAGTCTCTGGAGCCCTTCTAATATTCTGCAAATCTGCTGAATTTTCAAATATTCACATACTGATAGAATGATTCATTTACTTCAAACAAGATTCGGTAACTATTAATGAATGGTAGAGTTGAATATGACCAAATAAATATTCGTTGAAAATTAACGAATGGTTCATTGAAAGTCGAGTCAAACAAGCTTCCTCAAATATACATTTGATAACTATTAACGAATAAATATTTGTGAACATCCGCATGAAAAGGGACCACTTTGTCGATATGGAGTTATGTCTACTCTGATAATATTAATAACATTCCGCACATTTTAAGCCCAAAATGATCCTCATAGGATCAAGAATGACGTCGGTGGAGAAGATGAAAGAAACAATTTAACATTGGTATAAATGGGAGTTGCTGAGGCAAAACGTGAATATCTCGAAAACTAGAATCGGTAGTGGTCCCTTTTCATACGGAAGTCCACATTTGGTGAGACTGAAAAGACCCTAGCCTCCAACCAAATCCATTTGTGAACAATAACCACAGTACAACCTTGTTTATCCCAGGTAATGTGAGAAGGGGTAAGAAATAAGGGGAAAGAAATATAAAAAGTCAAAAATTTTAATCTTTTTTTATGTATTTGAAATGGTAGAATGAAATTTAATGACGACTACGACCTTTTTCCTTTTTTGCAACATGGCAATGTTTGTTCATTGATTGTTGAAGGCCAACTGTTAATTTTTAGCTTGCAACTGAAGAGCGCACAAAATGTGTTGTAACAAGTTTATACGGCTCTATCTGTTTTATCCGAGTTTTTTTCGGATAACGCGGAAGCTCGGTTGATCAAAGGCCGGATAAACAAGGTTGTAATCCTTTCCAACAGTTTAGAAAAAAGGTCAACACTATTTTTCGACTCATGGCTTCTACCGCAGTTTTTCCCAAATGCAGATTTTTTCAGATTGTTTTACTCACTGAAGAATCGGTCAACATTCTCCAGAGAATGTTGTCTCACATACTCTTCATGTCGACTAGGTGGAGGTGGGTTGAACATTGGAAGTCTGACTTTATTCTCTTCCGGGTACTGTCCACCTAAACTGAAGGCCAATAATCCATCATCGACGAGTTTATTGTTGGCATCGAGTCGAAGATAGTCAGACCAAGACTTGGTTGTTCCATATATGAGGCCTCCATCGAGAAATGGAGTGATTTCATTCAACTAAAATTATATGAAATTCATCAATTAGATGAAATTTCAAATTATCAAGAAATGCAATGATTTTGAAAACGAGTTGTTCTAGGGGAAAATGTAGAAAAAAGAAGTTTTTATAATTGGCAAAATTCCTAAAAAAATGTTTTTTCATAATTTTACATAACATCATTATTCATTGATTGTTAAGATATGGCAACAGTTAATGAGAATGGATAACAAATGAGATAATTTCAGTCGCTCATGTCATCATCCCGAAAATAAGGAATGTTCCAGGACAATCTGAAGAAAACTATTCGCAGTCGATCAAGTTTCTCCCAGAAAATGTCGTTTGGTCATTTGACCAAAATTACATTTTATCCAGATCATCCAATAAAAATTCAAATTCAAATTTGCAAATTTTTCAATGAAGACTTGACCTTTCAAAATTCAAATTTTCAATGAAGACAAACTTCGTTTTACTCTGTTATTATTCAATGGTGTTTCATCTGTGTATGTTTTAATTAAGTTGGAGATGATTAATCATGGTACAATTACTTGTTGTCGAGGATTGTTTGGAGACTGTCCGGTGCGTTCATCGTAACGAGTTCTCAGTACAGGCATAACAGTGTGATTACTGCTGGTACGATATGGGTGGTTGCTTGGGATTTTTATGTTTATGTATTCTGGAGGACATGCTGGTCTCTGAGCATCCAGAATTTCTTCAACTACGTGCTGTCCTGAAGAATTATCGTTTTATGAGTTAGAATCATTGACTTTTGTTTTCGGGCGATAGTTAACGAGTTATTAATTGATGAGGGGGAAGGAACGGAGGGTTTTTCCAAAACGTATATCAATACCGCCAATTTTTTTATATAGATAGAAATGAAATTGTTATAAAACCAATCGAACCAAGATGCTAATGAAAGTTATTAACTTCCCGACCCGAAGGAAGTTATTGTAATAACCACGCAAATTGAATGCGGAATTTCCATGATTTCTCGATATTTCTTGGCCTCCAGAATCATCCTGATACATTTTTGAAGACGCGTCTGTGTGTGTTTTGATTTTTTTTAAATGAGATCTACATGCAATTCGATCTTGATTGGTCGGCTTCGTCGTTTTCTTGTAATCCAGATGAAAATTCACTTTAAAGAAGGGAATTTCTATAGCCTTCCACATCTCTGTGACGTCATAGGAAATGATTGGATGGGATTTGGATGAGGTACACTGAGAGAGAAACAAACAGGTTGTCAAACAAGTCTTGTTTGGGCCAACAAAATTGCTAGTTGAAAATTGCCAAAAACGAATTCGTTTGGTTCGAATTTGAAAGTCTCAAATATAAATAATTGTTCTGCTTTCGACAGCAACGAAATATTTGGCTCAAGAGGCGGATAATTCACACCAGACGGTGCCTTTTCAGGATGAAAATATCTCATATACAGGAAAATTTATCAAGAAATATTTTATCCCTAAGTTACAACATTGTCATCATATCATTATTATTGTTTCATTTAGGGGTTCATTTGTTGTCTGTGATTATTAGACAGCCGAAACGAAAAACTATTATCTCTTGTTTCGCACAAAACAAAGATTTTTCAGAAGCAAAATATGTATGGGAGTATCGAATAATGAAGAAGTAGTGCTAGAAATGACATTTCTTGCGTGTACAGGGAATGCAATTTTTTTTTAACTACTGAATCTATTTTCGCAACAAAAAATTTTCATTCTGGCGCACTCTCTGCATGTTTGGCACAAAACAATACTTTTTTGATCATTTTCAAAAAACTATTTCCTTGGCACAAGTAAGACTTGTTTGAGAACTTTGTCGTTTTTCTCTCAGTGTAGGAGGAGAACCGGGATTATTGTCAATATGATTAACCAGAAAATTTGCGTTTTTTCTTTCTAATAAACAGAAAACTGGGAATAGGTCGGGAAGTTATTGGCTCGACCCGTAATAGGTTACATCCCCTTCAACCCAACCGCAATGGGAGCGAGCGAAGCGAGGACCAACAAACCAGTTGAATTTTTTGAAAAGTTGTCTACCAGTACTGTAGTAACCGAAAACTCCTAATTTTAAGAATGTCTCGATCGTGGGGAATTACGTGTACAGTTTAGTTATGAATAGTCTAGATGTTGGGGAACTACACGAGGGCAGTTGCATTGTAAAGTATTTCAAACGTTAAGGAAAATATTTTATTAAGGTAGGATTAAGACGAGACGCAGGATTAAGTTTAGACGTACAGTTTTATTGTTTTATTATGGTAACGCCGTATAGTATATATTCCAGAAGAATATCCGTAGATTTTTGGAGTGGGGGACACGCATATGAGTGGGAATCACGTAGAGTGGGGGTACCCTGGGGAAGATAATCTTCTACTAGAAGGCCTATAGCACCCTCATCGATGACGCACGACCTCTTAGCTGACCCACGCTGCCATGTTTCGGGAAAACTTCCAAATATGGAAATGGCGAGTGAGGCCCAGAAAGTGCGTGGTAGTGGGGGAAGGACGCTAGGAGGGACAAGGTGTACATTTAAGGGATGAGGGTACAACGGACAGTGCAGTTCATTGCCGGGAACCTTTAGACGAACATTGAAGTCGAAGAAGTAGACGAAGTCCTCGTCAGAGGCATTAGACGATTTAGCTGTTTTTCTTAAAGTGTTTTTTAAAATAACAATTGTAAATAAACTGTTTCGATTAAAGTGTTTAGAATTATCCAGCTGTTTTATCTTTTAAAAATATACCCACAGTACCTACGTCATAGTACACTGTTGGAAAAAAAAAATTTCATGGACAGTTGACTACTAATTTTCAGGACAGTGACACTAAATGCGATTCAGGATAAAACAAGCAGGGGTTCGAGCCCATCCGACAGAAGGCATGTGACCGTTACTTTTTGCGTTATTAGTCCTTTTCTTTTTTTTATTTCTACCAATTCTATTGGTAGTAAGCTTCCGAACGGATCCGTAGCAATCCCCTGTCCTTGTGACAGGTATACAACCATAACCACATGCTACAGGATGTCTACAGGAAGATATTCAACCTTTTAATGAAATAGATTTGTACAAGAGGTAAAATATCTCCGAAACTGCTCGGCTGATTGCGCCTATCTAAAATACGAATCTTCAATATTGTAAGAGCTATAATCACACCAAATTTCAACTTACTATTTTCATTTTTCCTCAAAATATCGTGCGTACAATAATGAAAAAATTTAAAAAATGAACAAACGGGAACATCTCTGATTTTTTGTATGGACGGGTATACATATTTTGATTGATCTAGAAGGTGGCCACCGAGACAAGTATTTTGAAAAAAAAAATTGACATCCGTCCAGTAGTTCATGAGAAAAAAAACGGAAAAACGGCAATATCTTCAAATTTTGTCTGAACGAGTATATATATTTTCATTGATCTAGATAGAGGCCATCGAGAAGAGTATTTTGAAAAAAGAAATATTGAAATCGGTGGAGTATATTTTGAGATATTGAGGAAAAACGAAATTTCAAGAAGTTGTTATATCTCAGGAACTACTCGACCCATCGGGCTGAAACTGCGTACCAAAGTGAAGCTTAATCATTACTACCATGGGCCAAAATTTCAGACTTTTATCGACAAATTTCATCGTATTTATTTTAAATTTTCTAAAAATTGATCACCAAAAACCCAAGTTATCACACACATACATACAGACATGGCCCTAAAAACATCATTTCTTCACGTTTCATACCATTCTAGACCATTTGCCATCAAAATTAGAAAATCGAAAAATCGCTCAAATACAAGGCTTTCATTTGGAAGCAAAAAGAGATGAATAAATGGCGAAAAAAGATTTAGAAAAGGATAGGAATAATAAAAGAAAAGGAAGGATATTACAAACAAGACGAGTATTTTGAAGAAAAAAAAATTGAAATCGGTTGAAGTTTTCGAGATATTTACGAAAAAAGATTTAGAAACAAATGGCGATTTCTCGAAAACGGCGGGATCGATTGGGCTGAAATTGAGCACAGAGTTAGTCGTCATTAATACCTATAATCTGCCAAAATTTCAGATTTCTCGGAATCATTTTAGTCCTTTAATTCTCCAATTTTCTAAAAGTTGATCACCAGATGGACACTCGCACATACACACGGGGTGGTCAAACTTCGTATTTTTACGTTTCAGACCATTCTGCATCGTTTCCAAGTAAAATTAGAAAATCGAAAAATAGAACGATTGCAATGCTTCCATTCGGAAGCAAAAATCATGAAATTTCAGATTTCACTGAAAATTCAGTAAAATTCCAGAATTTTAAGTAGCATAAAGACGAGAATTCCATAATTTATTTGAATTTCCAATCTAATATGAATATTCAGTGCCAAATTACATTGAATTTTCAGTGAAATATCAAATTTTATTATTTTCCCCCTAAATCGCATGCAGTGTCACTGCCCTGAAAATTCCAGATTATATTTACCGGAATTTTCTTCTTGTCCATTTATTTTAAGAGACAAATGGAACTGAAATTTACACTTCTCTTTAATTTTTCGACGAATTTCTGAATTTTCAATGACGAAAGTCCTTGAAATTTCAGTGGTTATCAAATTCGATAAAAACTTCCAAAAAGTGTACCGAAAATTTCTGACAAAAATTTATAACAGTGTAATTGCAGCCCATCAACGGTCTCATTAGTGAATTTGATTAATTAATAACTTGTTAACGATCGCCTGGATCCAAAATCGCAGAAGGACTTTCGCCTCAGTATTTCTTCGTTTTTCATCCCTCAAAATTTTCGTGAAGAGTTTAGGAACACCTCCTATGTTTGAAACATCATTGAAACTCAATATTATTACATTCTGCTTTGTGAGAAAATATATTGTTTAAGGCTCGGGGAGATTATCTATCGAACCTTATCTCAATTGTTTTTCCATCTTCATAATGTAAAATATATCACAGTTTCCATTGGACTTTACATCTCGCAGGAGTCCCTAATAATTATTATTGTATAATAAAAAAAAGTAGAAAAAACAACATCTTCAAAGAGCGTTTCTAATACAGATTAAGAAATTGGTCCGATAGAGAGGAAATAGTGAATGGATAATTCATCATGATGACTAACGATCTGACGACCATTGACTGCTGTGACAAATGATGACCTAACAGCCATTAGATACATCAAATTATTAATTTGCAATTTCCTCCCTATTTGGTTTATTTCCCATTATTATTCAAAAACGCTCCTTGAAATTGTTCAGCTTTTTTGCAACGTTTTTTTGATTGTACAATCATAATTTTTGGAGATTCCAGGGCTATGTAAAACTGAATAGCAATTGGAGATCATTTCAGATTAGCAAAGTAAAAAAAACAATCAAGGTCACGTGCAAGATAATCCATTCGGGCCTTGATATAGATAAAAAAATAATTCTTCCAGACTATCCCGCAACACTTTTTTATTCCTCCTACGTAATCGATTTATGGTTAAATTCAGCATTCATTCATTTTTCTGTGCATTTAGTCGTAATATTTTGAATACAGTCCAGGTAGGAAAAAACGAATGGGCCGAGCTCGATCCAATCCCGGCGGCCCCGTCGCCGAACTTCGGGGCCCGTTCCGCGCCGGGGTTGGTTGAAACCTGGAATGATAACATGGGGCCGGGCCTGGGCGCCAATCTCGGTCGAGCGTTGGTTGCCAGTTGTTGGCCAGGCTCAATTAAACATTACTTAATTACATGAATATGATATCAATGATTGAAACATAAGTAATTCAATCTTACTCCTGAGCATTCGTAACAGTTTCAAGGAGGAAAAAATAGTATATTGTGCATTAAGGGCGGAAAGTCATGTTTTCCCGCCCGAGGTGCACATGCTATTTTTTAACACGCCTGCAAAGGAAAGTTCGTATTTTACTCTTTAATGAGCGGGAGGAAAGTACGAACTTTCCGTGCAGGTGTGTGAAAAAATCAATACCGGCATGCAATTGGCGCCAGGCTGGCTGCCAAACTATTCATGACAATTATCAATAATAACAAAAACAAAATAATCAACTTTTTTTATGATGATTTTTAGTATTAATTGTCCCGTACCTACCAAACCCTACCGCAATTATCGCTGAAAAACTGACTTTGTTAACTTAGAATGTTACCCTAACGTGGGCTCTAACCACTAATCCGACGGCCTAACCACTAGCCTACCCCGCAATTCATGAAATCTCTACTTCAAATCGTCCATATTAATTCCGCCTCGGTTTTTTTCGACTTGAACGTTTTATTATTCACTTGATAGAGATATTAAGTGATTCAACTATAGTTTAATCGGTAAATTAATTCAATAATGAATAACAATAACAATAACTATTAATTATAATAATAATTATAACAATGATGATTAATTTTTAATCACAATGCTTCTATTTTTCGAGATAATTAGCGAATAACATGTGACTTCAATACCTACAATGCCATCATTTTATTTTTACGATTACACCCTTAAAATTTTACCCTCAAGATTCCACCCTTACCATTCAACCCTCACAATGTCATCCTTATGATTTTTTCGCCTCTTTCCATTATTACGATTTAACCTTTACAATTTTATGATTCCACCCCTATGATTCCATTCTCATCATTTCACCCTTCCGACTTGACCCTTACAATAACAGCAACGGCTGCAGCCCAATGATTAAGCCCAGACATGCCAATGTTCGGCCAAGGCTGGACCAGATCTGTCAACCAAGGCTCGGTTATCCGCCCTTTCACCGAGGGTCAAGCCCTGCTTCCCAGGGATGGCCGAACCTCGGTCCAAGCTTGGGCGCCCAGGCGTGTGCCACACTGGGCCCGCTTTTCTAACACTGGCATTTCCTTCTTGGGCGGGGGGAAGTTTTTCACAGTGAATAAACTCACCGAAAAATACGAGTAAAGCATTTTTCCCAGTTCTTGATTTTGATCCAATAGGACCACTCAGCAGTTGCTCACTGAGTTCTAGTGGATTTGGACGATTCTGGCCAGCCAGTTCGTAGACCCCGTCCCCATACGCAGCTGGACTTGATCGCAACAACGGTGTATCCACCGCCCCCAGCTCTGGTTTTCCAAGGTTATTGTACCATCCATCATACCCCGGATATTCGATAGATTCATTGCGGGATGGTTTCGCGGCCTCATTAGGATTTACTTCATTTGCGAGTAATCGAGAGATTATGGAATCCCTTGCAATAGGAGGTGGCGTCGTTGGTTTCTCAGTTGGTTTCTCGGGCGTGACTTGTTCAACCGGCATAAGTATCTCATGTAATTATTGCATCAGATTTATTAGATTTATTGCATAGAGATTCTCATCTTTATTGATGATGACAATGGGTTCGTCAACTTTATTGTTATCACTCCGTTGGTCGCGCTATGAGCGCAGCGCCGCACTTTTTCCAATTCTTTAAATTCCAGAGCAGCTAGTAAAGCCTCAGACAGTGATGCCGCGAGACGTTGTCACGAAACCATTCTCTCGTCTCGACCACGGAGAAAAATATTCAATAAAAATGACGTATCTTTTCCGTAATTCCAGAGCGAAATGTGGTTATAGGAAATTTTACGGAACTGTCACGGCATTTTTACCTAAAGTCGCGGAATTTTTCCAGAGCGTTTCGAAATTTTTACCTGAATCTCCTGTGAAAAATTACGATACTGTCAATTTTCTGAGACGATTCCGTAATCGGTGAGCGAACTGTGAGTTCCGTAATTTTTACTGAACATTTCTCTCCGTATGTGTCTCGTATCGAAATACGAGAGCAATTTCTTCTCTAGTCTTGTCGAGAATTGAGAGATTCTCTCGTCTCGTCTTGTCTTATCTCATCTCTATAATCCAATTTGCATGGAAAAAAATACAGAGAGGGGGAGGCTCTCTCGTTTCTCGTCTCGTATCTCTCGCGTCTCGCGACATCACTAGCCTCAGAAAAATTGGAAAAAATTTGACATCCGCTAAAAATATCATAAGTAGTTGGATTTTCAAATTTTTATTCACAAACTCCGGGCCGTGTACCGTGTATAAGGTGAATTTTCAGAAAAACATTGGGCAACTTTGAGCTTGAATAATTATGGGTCCCACTGAACATGAAAAATCTCACGGGATTTCTTCAAGTATACGAATTTTCACTCTTGACTTTTTTCCAAATTTTGCCTAGGTTGTTCAAATTTATCATTATGTCAATTCATGCTGGTGCGGCGTGGCGCTTACGGCTTTCGTAACTTTTGCGCGACCAACGGAGTGTTAAAACGAAATTTCTGATTGAAAAAGGTTCAGACAAGTCCGTTATATTCTCATAGTTGAGCGGATAGGGAAGAAGAACTATTACGCGAATTTCCAATATTTGAACTGAATATTATAGACTGTCCGGCTGTCTTCAATCAACACAAATTGTTCAGAAAACTAGTGGAAAACATACTAAAGAGACATTTTAATTTCAATATCCTACTAAATTGATTTTTTTGTTTATTATTAAAGCCTATTTGCAGGCTTGTGAGTTTAGAACAAAAAAATTTCATTGTGGCGAACTGATATTATATTTCATCATACTTTGGTAAAAGTTACCTTAGGTTCCTCCGGAAGAGTCGGGTGCGTCTCATTACCCTGCCCCGATACTTCACACCCAATCATCATCAGAACAACCATCCACTTCATTTTTTATCCCTAAAAAACTTGAAACATTAATTTGTCAGTCTGAAAAATTTCCACCCTTAATGACACGAAAAAATCATTTTTGTTTCTAGATATTCAACACCACTGAACTCCCGCTCTCAAGCTTTGGAACTGTACTTGAAGGATGTCTGAAACTTTCCCGGTTCGATAAAACGCCCGGAAGCTGCTGAATTTATCTCCATGATTCATCGACGAGCGCTGTTAGAGGCACCGAAAAAAAACTTGTTATTCCAGAATGCCAGTTCTCCGTTCAAAAATTCTCCGATTCGCCATCATCACCCGCCTCTCAGTAATATTCCTCCAACTATTCTTCAACACGATCTTCCCGGACCACGCGGCAAACGCCTTCAGTGCCCCCCTAGACCCTAATGAAAAAATATCCAATTTCGACAAATTAATCTCGTTCCTCTTCAGTGGATTGACTCGTTGGGACTCCGAATATTACCTCCACATCGCAAAACATGGATATACCTACGAAAACACATTAGCCTTCCTCCCCCTCTACCCGATGACGATCAGAACCTCAGCAATTATCCTCAAGAAAATTCTGTTCTTTTTAAATTTTCATAGCGTCATAACAATCTCTGCAATTCTCATAAATTTCCTCTGTTTCATAAAATCGTCGTTGATCCTCTACGACCTAACCGTCATCGTAATGAATAAAAAAATTGCGTATAGATCCGCCATTTTGTACTGCATAAGCCCGGCTTCCATCTTCTTCACTGCAGCTTACACTGAATCAATGTTCGCGTACATAACTTTTTATTCTATGCTCGCATCTGTTGAGAAAAATCGTTTTGTTAGTCTTCCCATTGGTTTGTCCTCATTAGTGAGGTCCAACGGACTAATTAACATTGGCTTCCCCCTCTATATTTGTTTACAAGATTTAATCTCTCATTTTTCGTTTTTTTTGAGGCAAAGTTTTTCAAAATTCTCAAAATTTTTACTTGGACTGAAAACTAGTTTGCTGAATCTCTCTAGAATATTCTCTATAATTTTATTGTCAGTTGCACCATTTTCGTTGTTGCAAACTTATAACTATATTTTGTTCTGTACTGAAAGTGGAAATTCACCGATTATTCCTCCATATGTGAAAAAATATGGCGAAGATAATGGATTGATAATGCCTAGAGGGGGGTTCCCACCCTGGTGTCACTATAAAATCCCCACTGCCTATTCTTACATTCAAAAGCATTACTGGAATGTAGGATTCATGAATTATTATGAGGTGAAACAAATTCCAAATTTTATTTTAGCATTTCCAATAATATTTATCATGTTGAAATGTATTTATGAGTATTTAACGGTTAATTGGGGACAAGTTGTGAGTCTGAAAGTGTTGATGTTAGACGTTGAGAGGGAAGATTGTGAGAGAAAGGATTATCCTGCCAAGATGTTTCCGTTCATCGTTCATGGTCTATTCTTAACTTTTTTCTGTATATTTTTTGTGCATATCCAAGTTAGCACAAGGCTTCTTGCATCAGCTAGTCCACTTTTGTATTGGTATACTGCAATTTTATTGTCTAGAGAGGAACGTGACGATTGGGATGTTAAGAATAATATTAATTCAAGTCATAATGTATTTTTTAAGTCTAAAAAGAGATGGACGACTGAGGAAAAAATAGTATTAGCATATTTTGTGAGTTATACTGTTGTGGGTACGTTCATGTATTCCAATTTCCTACCTTGGACGTGAATAAAAATTTGTGTAATTTCAGTATTTTGGTCTCCAATAATTTTTTAGATAAGTTGTCTTCATTATCCGAATTTAGTGGAGGATACCTGAACATTTCGCAACGATGTCGAGCATTCTGCTGTGAAATGAGAAAAAATGAAGATGAATATGAAATTTTGGAACAATATGGTCGAGTCTAATACGGTTTACTCATAAAATAAATTAAGTTCATTTACAGTCTTTCGTTATTTACAAAGTTTGTGACGAGGTGAAATGAGCCCCCCACACAATATTTCCCCCTAAAGATTTCTCGCCACCGTTGGTCACCCTCTTTCCCCCGTTACTCCCTCCAATTCTCCTCACCGTCAGACCGAAGCAGAAGAAGAATCGCCCGACAACGAAACTGAGCAGCACCAGCCACCAGCTTCCAGCTAGATAAGAGCCCACACTTTCTATTGTCCCTAATTATCATTCGAAGAAATTATTGTAAACTATTCAGGATCAATCGCTAGACACGAGTCCCCTTTTGTTCACATTTTAGTCATCCCCTGTCGCGTGTACAAACGTCACTTGGCCTTGGTGTAAAATTCAAGGAAACACGTATGAAAAAGTCGTATAGAAAGTTTCTATACGATTTGCGTATAGAATTTCTATAGGTTTTTCGTATATGATATTCGTATAGAAATATCCGAATATCATATACGAAAAACCTATAGAAATGCTATACACAGTCCGTATAGAAAGATTCTATACGATTTTTTCCTACGTGAATATAGAGTATTATTTGAATTGTAATTAGCCTTCCGAGTCCCATTCAATTGATCGCCCTGATCCCTCCTGTCAGACATTATAAATTAATTAAACTAATCCTTGGACAATAATACTAGGTAATTATTAATCATATTATTTATTCGGAAAGAAAGTCCCCTGTTTCAAGTTATTATTTGAATTATAATGAGTCTTTAATGATTTGGGGAAAGAGTAATGTATTTTCAAAATCGTCTTCCTGGATATCATATTTGACGTAGTTCGTAGGATCATTTAAATTTGCATTTCCACGGATTCTCAATGCATTTGAAATCTGAATTGATTCAATAATATTGTAAATTACATATTTCAATGATAATCGAAATGACTAAAATTATTTTGAACTGCATAAAAAAATTAATTTATTCCTGAGATTTTCAAGTCTGCCAATATCTCAAAATTACTCCAACCCCACTCACAAGTGAGAGCAGGCCTTCTCGGAGCTTCCGAGATTCTCAGCAAGAACCTATCGATTTTAATAAATTAGTATTCAGTCTATAATACGATGAAACATATTGATTCTTTTATCCATTTTCTGTGTAAAAAAAATCAACAATTTCTGGAATCTCGGTATTCCTATGGATTTCCAGCGATACTTAAAACATTTGCACACTTCGCCATTGATTTAAATGTAATAGGTAAGGAAGATAAATATAGCTGCAAAATCCATGAGGTTTCTATGACGCCACTGCCGAAAGGCTCTATCAGTAGCTGATATTCTCTGTACAAAAGGATCTCTCTCAATATTTCACTATCGCCCTCGAATTCTGAGATATCTTCTGCGAACTGATTTTTAACGGATGTTGACTTATCTCGTCCACCATTCCACTACTATTTTTTCTCAATTATTATTTCTTTGTAGTACCATGCTTTTTTATATAGAACGGAACAGCCATCCGCACTGGTCAAATTTGTACACTCACTGTTAGAAAATTATTCTTGAAATTTCAAGTAAAAAATCTGAAAATTTTTAACGAATAATCTACATGGAATTTCCATTGATCTTGTTATTGACAAATCAGTTCATTTAATTGAATATTTAATGAAATTTGATTTCTCAGGTTCATACGACAATGAAAATTACTGAAAATCGTGAAAATTCAGACTTTTCTTCGGAATTTTTAATCCTTAGACAATTCAATTGAATGTAGTGGTAATTTTCGCGATTGGTGTGAAAATCCAAATTGTCGTTGAAAATTCAATGATCATTCATTATGAAAAACTTCATTTTATTGAATTTCCAAGACGAATCAGGAATTTCATGAACAATTTAGTCTGAAATTGAATTCAAGTTCCGAACATTGAAAATTCAAATGCATCTGTTATTTAAATTTTAAAAAATTGCTAACGGTGCTGTTAGAAATTTCTTGAAATTTCAGGGAAGACATGATACAGTTCAACCTTCGTATAAGATACCACAGGAACTGTAGAGGAATTAAATTCCGAGAATTACGTATCCCGAACTTTCCTTGCCCTCAGAGGAGAAAATATTTTGATTTGATATTCTTCGTACAAGATACCAGACGATTTCCTTTTTTCATGACCATTTGAGTACGATTCCTGATGTGAAATACGAATGTTTGGTTAGAAGGTATTGTTCATTTTCAAAATGACAATTTAGAAATTCAAAATAAGTTAGTTTGTTAATAGGGAGCTGCGAGGTAAAATTGACTTTCATTGCAATTTTGATTTTCATCAAAATTGGGTAGAATTTTGTTTTGTTTTGTCTATCTATCCATAAAAAAATGGACGTAAAACACATGGTGCAATCCTCCTATCGTAAAAAGGAGACATGAAATCGATCTCGAAATATCTTATTGTAAAAAGGAGAATCTCGAAAATCTCGAATAAGCGTAAGCGTAAGAATGAAACCGAAGCGCCACTACGTGAAGAGATGAGAAGGCGCGGGCGTAGCACGCGCGGCGGATCTCGTACGTGTAAAAAATAGATATTTTACCAAATTTTATGACCGACCCATTTAATTTTTTTATTAAGGGTAATGAGTGACCATTCGTTTTGAAATTCAATTGATGTGCAATTAAGTTCTAAAACATAGATGCATATATTTCCAGTCATGTCTGCAATATCTCAAACCCATTACCACCCAATTCTAGCCCTTTTGTCGAGGGTCTTGTACAGAGAATACGAAACGAAAAACATTCAAGCCAGAAAGTGGGGGTATCACTCGGTAGGGATTCAGGCCTAGTATCTTGTACGAAGACTGGAGTGTAGTAATTCATATGAGAGTGACACGGAATCGGATTCAGGGGAAAAATGGTTATGAAATTTCAAGTTTTAGGTAGAATTGAAGGAAATTCATGAGTTTTCACTGGGAGTGAGAAAGCAATTTCACAACTTGATTCAATTTTCAATGGAAGATGAATATTCAAAAACTAAATGACTTGAAATTTCCATTTTTCCTTGAATTTTCCTCATTTTTATGAATTTTCACGGAATAATTGAACTGAAAAATCAAACATTTTATTGATTTTCAGATGATTCGAACAGAAAATCAATGAAATATTTGATTTTTCAATGACAAGGTTTCCTGAAATTTCAGTGGAAATTGAATACGATAAAAATTTCCGGGATTTGGCACGGAAAATTCAGACGAAAGTTTTCAACAGTGTACCTAATTTTTATAGGTAATTTTATACAATTTATTAACAATGTATAACTTATGAGGTTTTCTACGAAAAAGTACGAAAGCATGCAATATAATAGGCTTCGAAAAGATCTTAACTGTCCGGATGGAACTACTGGTTTTTGAAATGTCTGGATCATTGATAAAATGACATGTATGAAAAAATTCAATAGAAAACCTTAGCGAATTCGCTAAAGAATTCTGTTGGAATTATCTAGAAATTGTATGAGGATTCTGTTAAAATTCTCGTTAGAATTTCATTTCTTTTTTGCGCAGATTTTGTTAGATATTTGATAGGAAAAAGTCAATATATTTCGATTTTTCTGTTGGAATTTTTCTCTTGAGATTTTTTCTGTTAAAATTATTGGGCACGGATTTTCCAAGTTTTTACCGCTCTATTTTGTTTTGTTTTGCATTACAAGATCCGAGTGAGAAAACTTGGAAAATTCATGCAGAAGTATTCATATAGAAAAAATTCCAAGAGAGTATTCATATGGAAAAATCGACATCTACTGATTTTTTCCTATCAAATATCTCATAGAATCAGCGCAAAGAAAAAATAGAATGTTAACGAGAAGTCCTTAGAATTGTAATAGAATCCCAATGGAATGTCTAGAGAATTCCACTAGAATTTTCTAGTCAATTCGCTAACTTTTTCTATTCAATTTTTCATACGTGGAGGATTTGATTGAATCAATTAAAATTCTGCTTTACTATGCCTTTTCTTATGCCTCAATATTTCAATCGGAGTCAGCCACAATATCTCCTTACATTCTTCACACTCATACTCCTTAGAATTCGCCTTTCTCTTCCCCTTAGAATTATTCTCACCCTCCTTTCCCCCCTGAACTACCTTTTTACTCTGACTCGTATCACACACCGCTCGATGCTGTAGTTTCTCCACAGTCCTCACAATTCCCCTGAAATCACAATTACCACATTCCCAAGGACTCTCCATCATCTCCCCAGCAATCTTATCACCCCAATCGTTCTCCAATAAGCAATTATACGTAACATACTCATTAACCTTAACTCCCCCTTTTACCCCATTCACAAGACATGTGAAATTGTCCTCAAAAGGATTATTATCCGAAAAACTATCTATTATATCGTTGTGCCCAGGGCCTATATAAATTCTGTTCAAATCTGCAGGGAGAAGTCTCTTAATGGTGTAAGGAATACTGGTATGCATGAACTCAATCAAATCTCTGCTCAACTCATACTCCATCTCCTGTAGCATCTGTACTTCTCCATCTTCCTCATCCATCTTAGCATCCTTCAGCTGCCTCTTCAGCAACAAATCCCACTTCGCTCTAATTCTAATCGCCCTGATCAACAGATTCATTCCGCTATCAATTATGGGAAATTCTAGCCCCAACCAACTATCACAAATGACAACAGATATTACCGAATTAGTGTCAATCTCTTGAGAAAATAATAGAAGAGTTTGAGCAGCTGGCATTCTCAATGTATTAACTAAGTACGGCTTAGTCGTCTCAAGAAGCGATAAATAAGCTAATAATTGATGCTTAGGACTCACTGGAGTCTTCGATTTGAACCCAGGAATATTGACAATGTCAGGTTCCTCAAGCTGCAGAATCTGTGGATGATTACCGAAGTAGCTCATGGGGTGGAGGGCGACGTAAGGCTTTGATTTAGTATGAAACAATTGCTCGTTCATGGATTTACAGTAATTAAACTCATCAGCAATAGCGAATTGTGGATAAAGTCCACTGCACAGAATCAGTTTTAACATTGTTAAATCTTTGTAAGAACATGCTGTACTGGCGTTGAGGAGATTCTGGATCTGGCAAGCGTCATTCCTCATTCTGAACTCCACATCTTTAATATCGATCTCGTCGTTATCATTATCGTTGTCTAGCTGAAGGTCGAATTCATCGACTTTCAATTGTTTTCTTTTTCTGTTACTCGATGATTGTCTGTAGGTTCTTTTCAAGGACTTTAGCAGTTTGAGTTCTCCATGTCTTAAAGCTCTTTCACTGCTTGACATCGATGAATTTGGTTCTTGATTCTGATTCTTCATCAAATTGCAGTCTTTGAGAAGATCTTTGAACTGACTTCGTAACTTGGTCATTTCGTAAAAGCGTTGTTCCTCGAGACCTCGGCGTTTGCACCACTTTCTGCTGGTACTGTTAGTATTTCGGCCTTCATGACTGTTTTCTTGCTTCACTTCTAGCCATTCTTTATAAGCGTTGAGTAAGGTGATAGGGTCTCCATGATCAGATTCTAACTTTTTTCGAGATGTTTCACATTCTGAGTCTTTGAACGCTCGATTTGTGAAGGGGTTTTGGATACTAAGAGCAGCAGCTAGGGAAAGCACCGGCTCTACTTGATGAAAAATCGAACCCATGATCAACATTTTGCCTATCGTGATGTCCACAGGAAGTCTTGCTAAAGTTTTGCCAATGCAGGTGAGTTTTTCGTTCTCTGTGATTGCTGCATGGTCCTTAAGGGAGAGAATGGAGTTCTTGAGGCTCTGTGAGGGAGGGGGCTCGATGAAAGGAAATTTCCGAGGATCGGGGAGGCCCATAGCCATCATCTGAAGGAGAAGTGAATCTAAAGGGACTCGCTGAATTTCGGGAGTGGAGTATTTTTCAAGGGAGTCGTACTCTTCTTCGGAGTAGACCCGGTAGCAGACGCCTGGACCTGTTCGACCTGCTCGGCCTTTCCTTTGTTCGGCGCTTGCTTTAGAGATCCAAAATTCCTTGAGGCGTTCAATCTTGCAGATTGGATCGTAACTCATTTCTTTAACCTAGAACAGATAGAATGCGTCTTATTATACCCTGAGATACAGAGATCCCCTAAGGGCAACCATAAATTTACATCGATTACATTTTTGAAACATCATAGTCATAATAGGGAACTTGCATGAACTTTTTTCAATTTTCTAATCTCAAGTTTGGGACCTGAATAATTCATTTTTCACTGACAAATGTTCGAAGTATTGCTCATTAATTAATAATTAATCATTAAAAGTTGAAGATTTTAAACGCTTCGAAATCGCTAATGACGTCACACGGACGGTCTAGTGCTGGACCAATCACAGAATGGCTCGGGCCGACCTAGCCCAATCTTGAGGCGCATCTCGGCCAATGGTGGACAACTACCCACTCTCTTCTTTTTAGAATCAATGCAGCATTACCTGACCGTCTTCGTGACGTCATGACCGAACAATTGCCCTCGAAAACGACTGATTTTCAATCAATTATAATAAAACATTTAGGCAATATACCTCCATAATTTTCGCCGTTTAGCTATCCATATATGTTATGAGGAATGTGTACATAGGGGAACTCAAAAGAATAGAGCTTCACGCAAGTTCCCTATTGTATAAGGAGTTCTCTTGAATAGAGTTTTATCCAGATCATTTACTTATTTAATCCGTGTTTAAGGAACTTTAGTTACAATCATTTATTTAATTGTTATATTTTATTTATTTGTTTATTTATTAGTTATTCAATTTCTTATTTATTAATTCATTTTAATTCTATGAGAAATATTCAAACATTTCTCTCCGTGTGGTGATTTCTCCTTTTCTTAGCTCATTATAATTACAGTGGCACAGTCTTTGCGATTAATTCGGTTATTCACAAACTCCTAATAGCCAGTCAATCATCTCAAGTCTCACATACTCCAATATTATCACAATCATCGATCTTCATATAACAAAAAAAACGTTACTTCATGAATAAAAAGAAAATCTCAATTCCATGGCTATATTTTAATTGATGATATGACTCATTGATATGATGTAATCACAGGCTAAGAAGGCATAATTTACTTTCTCTGCTCAATCAACAAATATTAGAAAAGGGCGTTACTAAAGGCACTGAGATGAGAGAGTTGAATTGAAAATAAAGTTTGGACTAGTACATACCTTCCCTGAGTCTGCAACGAATCGTATTCCATCAATCGTGATTGAGGTCTCTGCGATGTTAGTTGATACTATGCACTTCCTCACCCCCTCCGGGGGATAATCAAAAACCTTATCTTGTTCTGCAATCGAGAGAGTAGAGTGCAAGGAGAGAATAATCCAATTGTTCTTCTTTTGAGCATACTCTTTGGCAGTATCTACTACCGCAGTTATTTCGCTCATTCCACTCAAAAAAATCAGTAAATCTCCTTTCTCCTCTGGGGGATATTTTTTATCAATCAACTGAAGGATCTGAACGTAGGGTGAAGGATTGAACCGGTCGTTTTTGTATGTAAAGTCATCAATCGTTATCGGACGGTAGAGTAGTTGAATTGGGTACAGACGACCTGGTACCTGAATTATTCGGACATCTTCTTTCGCAAAGTAGGAGCCGAAAAGCTGAATATTAATGGTGGCAGACATGAGTACTAGTTTCAGGTCAGGTCTTTGGTAGATTAGGCATTTCATTATGCCCAGGAGGAAGTCTCCGTACAGGTGACGCTCGTGTATCTCGTCGAGGACTACCACATCGTACTGAGAGAGACCGGTTTCAGAAGAGACTTGACGCAAGAGAAGACCTTCGGTTATGAAGGTAATTTTTGTGTTTTGATTGCGTTGCTTCTCGAAACGAATTTGATAACCCACGACAGGGAAGTTCTCGGTGAGGGTCTCAAATGCCACGCGCTTCGAGAGTGAGATACAGGCGATCCTTCGAGGTTGAGTACATGCTGAAACAGAAGAAGAGAGAATTCTTAAAATTTTATACACTGTAAGGAATTCTGGGAAATTCCTTGTGCCATCCAGAGACAATGGGAAGAATCTCCATATTCGTGAGTCAGACAAAGATCCAGAGCCTTAGTTCTATTAAATTTAAAAAAAAAGATGATTAACGTTGAGTAATTTTAACGTTTGTAGAGTCAGGGTTGACCCGATCGCGTTTCGGTGATTTCCGTTAATTTTAGGTAATTTACAATTTTAGATTTTGTAGGTTCGTTATAGTGAATTTTCGTTTAATTTTAGTAAGCCTTAATAGTGCTTTTTTTTTGTGTGCCAATCGTGCGTTAGGGATTTCATAAATTTAACTATACGGGACCGATACGATTTTCGCGATATAGGCCGAGATATTAATGAGCTGCGCAATTATTGTTTGAGGATTGTCACTTATTTGATACTTTGAAGAAACGTTTAGGTGTAGTTGAAATACTGCCACTTAATAGATGGGTTAATTGGGAAGAGATAGGACAGTTTTGGGATTTCGGTGGAAGGTCACACGACCAATGATGGCCGTTGTACGCGTGTGAATTGCCAAGGCCATTTACGTTTAGGGATGTTTTATGATGTATCGTGATAATTGAATGTTCTGCGTTTTCGCTTAGTGATTAGTTTATACATCTCTATCCCAAGAATCCTAGAGAATACAGCTTCAGAGAGAAAATGATAGCTAAAAGAATTTATCTGTCCGAATAACTGCCGGAAAATCCCGTACAATATTTGAGTTTATTGTTAGATTAGTCGTTAATCACACGCCTACGAATTGTCGAGTTTGCGTGCTTATTATTATTATTATTATTATTATTATTATTATTATTATTATTATTATTATTATTATTATTATTATTATTATTATTATTATTATTATTTTTCTCTGCGCTCAGCGCTGGACAGTTGCTATGTTATAGCCAGCGATCTCTCCCTACGTGTCATCACGTGACGAGTATAGTGTTCTCATTCTATCATACGCATTCGGCTTTCACTCTCTGTCCATTTCACACCTTTTAGAAAGCTATAAATTTGGAAGTTTTCGCGTTATAAGAGAGTCCATTGTGAGTCGTCAACCGATGACTAGCCTCGCGCTCACCCTTGCCTCTGGCCAATGCTCATAGTGAGCCTATACCGTTGCTTCTAGTTCTGAAGCTTTCGCTTATGCGACTTATCTCGTTTTGAGAAATTAATTTGTTTCTTTACCGTATTGTGCCTACAATTATTGTATTATTTAGCCGACAGGTTAAATACCCAGCCACGACTTTTGCCAGCCTAGAGGTCTCCGACCTCTAGGCTGGCAAAAATCCTTGGAACAAAGAAGACTCCATATCTAGGGAGCCTACAGGCACCAGATGGCAGCCACACGGAAACCATGGGAGAGACTCTGAAACTCCTAATGAACACCCACTTTCCAGGCTTCATACAGGCCCAGGAGAGGGATAAAGAAACAATGCAAAATCAGAGGGATGTCTACGAAACCCATGATTGGGCATTGGCAAATAAAGTAGTGCAGCCCTGGGGGGTCAAGTGGGCCATCAAAACCTTTGAACCCTTCAAGGCACCGGGACCAGACGGGATCTACCCAGCCCTATTACAGGAAGGGATAGAGACTATCACGGGACCCCTAACCAAGATACTCAGAGCTAGTATAGCCCTGAAA